ATATATATATATATATATATATATATATATATATATATATATATATTATATATATATATATATATATATATATATATATATTATATATATATATATATATAATATATATATATATATATATATACATATGTGTGTGTTGTGTGTGTGTGTGTGTGTATAGTAGTAGTAAATTCATTAGTAACCAAATAACCCTTCACAATCATCATAAAAAAAATCCGGAATCGACCGTCCGTCAATCAAACTCATTCCCATTCCCGCCCATTCCCGTTCATTCCCGTTCATTCCCGTACAGTAACATTCCAATATTCCAATCTCCCTTCACGCCTCCTGACCTCTCCGGCCCTTAATTACTCCCTTCCATCACCATTTACTGCTTTTCTCTAAACTTAATTACCGTGTAACACTCTCGGTAATCATCTTTTATTACTTGGGATAAGTTCCTTTTCTGGATTTTATCACCTTTGGCGACTTTTATTACTATTTGGCGATTCCCTTTTTTGTATCGTGTTTAGTGTTTTTTTTTTTTTTTTTTTTTTTTTTGCTATTGGTGTCTTGAAAATGTGTGTAGTTTGTCTATATTTCTCCGATTTGTTTCATTTTATTTTTGCCTTTCGTTTTTTTTTATTGAGTGTTTATTGTTATTTATTTTTATCCTTTATTTATTTTCATTTTCTTTTTCTTTTGTTATGTTTCATTATTTTTTTTATTCTTGTTATTATTTTATAATTATTTCTTTTATTTTCTTATCTATTCATTCATTTATCTCTGAGTATTCAAATCTTTCTCCATTTTCTCCGTAACTTTTGCCTTTATTTATTCATTTATTGCGTGTATCTATTCATTTTTTTTCGTTTATATCCATTTTTGTGATTTTCTATAATTCATTTACGTCACTGTACAATCAGACTAATTAATTTGCATATCTTACCTGCTCGTTTGCTGCTGATCAACTTCTTAAGGACTTCAAAAAAAAAAACAAAAAATATATAATATAGATTGATGAAGGCAATAATGATAATAATAAAAAATAATGATAACAATTGATAATAACATGATGATGGGACAATAAGGATGATTGTAATGAAAATAATAATGATAATAACAACAACTAATAATGGTAATAATAATGATAACAGTAACAATAATAATAACAATAAATAACAATAATAATGATAATGATAACAATAATAATAATTGAACCAAAAGACATATCTTGGAGAGAGAGAGAGAGACGACACAAGAAGGCATTTGATACTCCTGAGAGTGGGAAGTTAGGAGAGTTTCGTGAGAGAAGGGAGAGGGGGGAGAGGGGGGAGGGGAGGGAGAGGGGGAGAGAGGGGTGAGAGGAGGGAGAGGGGAGAGAGAAGAGAGGGAGGGGGCAGGGAGGAGGGGATGAGGAAGACGAAGAGGGGGGGGGGTGGGGGAAGGGAGAGGGCGAGAGGGGGAGGGGAGGAGGAACAGAGGGTAGGGGGGAGAGGGGGGAAGAGGAAGAGACGGACAGAGAGAGCGAAGAGGAAAGACAGAGGAAGTGAAAGAGGAGAGTGAAAATGGGTGAGGAAGCTAGAAAGAAATAGAGGACAAGAAGGAGAAAAAGAGAAGACGAAAAGAAAATACGTTTTAAAGATTAAAGATTGAAAGATTTAGTTTTAATTCCATTTGTTACAATGGACATTCTTTGCTGTGACATACTGTCTGTTTTATTTTGCTTCGGAATCTCCCCCTGTGTGCAAGGAATGGCCGGGGTTACCACTCACTGGCCGGGCGTGGGATTGAACGCAGGTCCGCAAGATTGCTAGACCAGCACGTTACCGCTACGCCAGCACAACACAAATAGATGAAAATAGGATAAATAAGTAAACACAAAGCAGACAATAAAAACATAGAAAAGAACTAAGAAATAAATGAAAAATAAAAGAAAAAAAAATGAAAACAGAACACGTGGAAGGTAATATACAAGGATAACCAATAAAACACATAAAACAAGTCACAACAATCTATATCACATTTTATTAATTCCATATTCTCAAATACATATCTAGATTTGTAAACATACGTCCAAAAAACACACAAAAAAGGTATATAATTTCCTTTCCTCCATCACACACACACCACACAACACACACACACGCACACATACACACAACACACTACATAACACAAATACACAAAATAACAAATGTAATTATTAAATAGCCTATGTTAATGGTGCATCTTGAGGGAGTGCAGGAGTAGCATTTCATTAGTGTGTGAGGAACCTTAGGGACGTGTCAATATAAATCATTGTTCTTCCTCTTGTTGTTATTTGTTTTTTTCGTAAGTTGAAAAAAAAGGGGATATACAGAGGGAGGGAGAGGGAGAGAGAGGGAGAGAGGGGAGAGAGGGGGAAGGGGAGGGGGGGAGGGGAAGGAGGGGAGGGAGAGGGAGGGAAGAGGAAAGAGAGGAAAGAGAGAAAGAGAGAGAAGAGGAGAGGAGAGAGAGAGAGAGAGAAGAGAGAGAGAGAGAGAGAGAGAGAGAGAGAGAGAGAGAGAGAGGAGAAAGAGAGAAAGAGAGAGAGGAGAGAGAGAGAGAGAGAGAGAGAGAGAGAAGAGAAGGAGAGATAGAAAGAGAAAAAAATGTTTCGTTCTTACAACACCTATACTGATGAAATCTTTGCCCGGTTGGGGTGGGCTGCTCTTTGGGTTATTTCCGGCTAGAAATTTCTCGAGAAAAAAGGGATGACAGCGAAATCACGCAATCTCGTTATGAAACAGCCAGATACGGAAGGGTGAGTGATATGCAGCATAGAGACGTATATGTATGTATGCATGTCTGTATACATATATATGTGTATATGTATATATATATATATATATATATATATATATATATATATATATATTATATATATATATATATATACACACAACAACATATATATGTACATATACATACACACGCAAGTTCTTTTTTATTGTGGAATAATGTAAAATAATACATAACACAGTATTCATCTATTGTATTAATTTGAACTAATCATCAAGAACTACCATCTACCTAAACTATACAAGTCTTGATACATCTACAAGTGTATATCCAAGGATATCAGGTTAGCACCGACAGACTATACAAGAAACGTTAAAACAGGGTATTCCAATATACATATATGATCATTATCAAAGTGAACCTTCTTCTTTCTTCTTTTATGGGGTTTTAGACTTTCGTATAGTCTATAGGGGAAGGCTAGATCAGTAGCAACCCGAGGTTTCATGGCGTCTGATTCTATTTGTTGGAAAAAATAGCACATGGGGTTTATTTTGATGACGTCACAAAAGTTACGGAAACTGCGAATATGGTCAATCATTTTGGTCTTTTCAATTTTCAAAAAGGATGGAAAAAAACGATTTTAATTATTATATTTCCATTGAGCAATCGTCAAAACAGACGCCATGACACCTCCTCGAGTTACTACTGATCTAGCCTTCCCCATTGTCTCTATCCCCTGAAAGTAAACCTCTCCCTGGGTACAGATACGTGTTGTGGCTGCCTGTCGATTTCTCAGACACGACGCTGGCCCGTTTTCCCTTGAATCCGCGACCCTGGGAATGCTAACACGCTGCACAGGTGTGTTCAGGTGCACAGTGAGGGCGAGGGAGAGAGGGGGAGAATTTACACTTATACATTTATTTAGGGAAAGTTTTCTTCATTTCGTTTTTGTTGTTGTTGTTGTTCTTCGTGTATTAAATAGTAGAGGGGATGGAGGTTTAGTTATTAAGGAGTTTGTTTGTCTTAATTCTTAATCTCGGTGTTTATTTTTAAAAATCTATGATAAAGTTGGAATACGGGAATGAGCTGAATGAAGCGTTCCAGTTTAAGTTTTCCAACGTTCACATTTTCAAAAACTTTTGGCATTTCCTACACAAGCCGACTGGACAACATACGTGATGGGCGTCGTTTTCAGCAGACTGCGCCAAGTTGCATTTTCAATCTGCGGATCACCTGCTGCAAAAAAAAAAAAAAAAAAAAAAAAAAAGAAAGAAAGAAGGAAAAAACTTCGGTGCTTCCAAGAAAACCCGAAACTTTCTTGGCCCGAAAACGCTCGCCTTCGATACACACTCGGGGCTTCATTTCACAACTTTCTCCCTTCTCGATCGAGCGTCTTGAGCTTCCGTGAGCAGTAGCTTCTTCGGTGACTGCTCCGAGGTCAGCTTAAATCCACTTATCGGAGGGAACGACCCTTGACCTTCTCTCGAGATCGAACTCTTGACCAATTTCAAGAGATGACATGGAGGGGGATTCTGTTTCAAGGACGACCTTCACTTTTTCTCAAGGTCTACCCTGTGCTACGGTTTATGATATGGTATATCTCGTGTCTCGCGTGCCCGAAAAGCTTATTAATGTCTGTCTGTCTGCTCACGAACACTGGCGCTATAGATTTCTTTTCTTCTATTTCAAGGTAGTGAGATATTGTAAACGTGAAAATTATTTGTTTCCTTTCTGAGTCACTAAAACACTACAGGCTCCTCGTTCCTTCGTGGAGCCTTTCGTGCGAAGGAAAAGTCCTCACAGAAACACACTTCAGAAAGCGTCCGAAATCCCTTGCTATGCCACGCAGTTTCGCCGCGGTTTTGGAATCACTCCGAGATCACTCCAAACTTCGGCCCCGCGCCCGCAATTTCCTTCGATGTTTTTCTTTTATCTCTTTCAGAATCCGCAATCAGTGTCGGCGGAAACGGCCCCCATCGGCGCGCACTCCACTCCGCATTCCCCGATTACAGCGTCTGGAGCCGGGCCAGGTTCGCGTCGGCTTTCATTAGTACACGCTGTTGTCGGCGCCTCGGAATCCGACGACTTCCCGACGGGGCGCGCTCTCCCTTGATTGCGCCGCCACGAGCCGCCGCCGAGGGGGAGTCCCGGCCTTCCTCAATAGTCCTTTCGCTCTCTCCCTTACTCCTAGATTTATCCCCCCTACGTCTATTCCTAACGACCTCCCATCCCTTCAGGTCCCCCTCGAGGAAGTCCCTCTAGACGGCGCTCTCCTTCGGCGGCGCCACCGACGGGGAAGTGAGCGGTTCTCTCGCCTCCTCCTTCGTCAGGTAGTCGGGGTTGAGCGCCACCGTCGAGGAGGACGTCCGGGACGACCTTGAGGAGGCGGTCTTCGAGGAGGCGGTGCACACGGACGAGGGGGTCGAGCACTGGCCCAGGGAGTCCGTGGAGGCGAGGGGCGCCAGGCAGCCGCTCATGGGGGTCAGTTTGTCCCGCAGGAGGACGTCCGTCTCGAGGGGCGCGCTGGCCGTACTGCGGGGCGGAGGAAGGGCAGGTTAGAGGAGAAGGAGAGGCTGGAGGAATTAGCATGTTATAGAGATAGTTATGATATATATATATATATATATATATATATATATATATATATATATATATATATATATATATATTTATATAAATAATATTAATATATATATATAATATTATTATATATATATGTTATATATCTATATATATATATATATATATACATATCTATCTATACTATCTATCTATCTAGTATCTATTTATTATATATATTATATATATATATATATATATATATATGTATATGTATGTATATATATATATACATATTTATATATATATATACACTATATATATATATATATTATATATATACATATACATATATATATATATATGTATATTATATATATATATATATATTATATAATATATATATATACTATATATTATATAATATATATACAGATCCTATATAGATTCTATAGGAATATACTATATACTTAATATATTATATAATTAGCTACATATGTATATTTATACATATATACAGCCATATGCACACACATAAAACGCTTTACAAAAATATTCGAAGTACACACAGACGCAATGAAACACACAAAGAAACAATATCAGTATATATATAGAGAGAAAATATTAAAAAAAGAAAAATAAATAAGTCATCGAAGAGGAAAGAAAATGCCCCCCTTAAAATATAAATATATATAACTAATATGACTATAATACATATAATATTATATATATATATTATATACTTACATATTTATATAATATATATTAAGCTATTATAATATAACAATAAATACATATATATACTATATATATATATATATATATATATATAGTATATATACAGTATATATACTGCTATATAATTATATTATTATATATATATATTACATATATATTATATACATTATATATATATATTATATATATACTATATATATATATATAATATTATATATATATATATTATATTATATATATATACATATTTAAATACATATATATATATATATAATTATATTATATATATATATATAATTATATTATATATACATATATATATATACATATAATATATATATATTATTATATATATGTATATATAATTATATAATATTTATTTACACCATATTATACAAGATACTGATAGATCTATAGGAAAGATCTTTGAAAACAGACAAAAGCGCTACACTATGTGTTTTGTTACAATTATACAGCCATATGCACACACACAAACGCCCCCTTTACAAAAGCATATCGAAGTTTAAACAACCCACATACGCATGAAACACACACAAAGACAAGTAAATAACAAATCGTAGCCCCCTAATAGAAGAAAATATTTAAAAAAAGAAGAAAAAAGAAAGAAGTCATCGAAGAGGAAAGAAAAATTGCCCCTCTTAAAAAAAGGAAAAAAAGACCGCCCCCCCTCAAAAAAAACAAACACAAAAAAAAAAAACGCCCTCCAAAAAGAAGAAAAAAAACACCTCCCCTCAAACAAAAAAAAAAAAAATAAAAAAAAATAAAAAAAAAAATTCAAGAATTCCCCCCTATCTTCACCCGCGTGTCATCCTATGGCACCGGCGCGGTTTTCTGGACACCGGCGGGGTTCTGACACTCACGTTGTTTAGGAGAGTCCCAGGGTTCACGTAGAAGGAACTGGGTGAACCTGATCCACCCAGGGTTCGCATCAGCTCCTCTTTCTCGCTGTCAGCTGGTGGGGGGGGGGGAGAAAGAACGGGGAGGGGGGGGTGAGAACCTGTTATTTGTGTGGGGTGGGGTGGGGTATGGGGTGGGGGATGGAGGGTAGGGAGAAGGTGGGTGGGGGGTTGGTTGTGAGGAAGAGGGGGTGGGGGGTAGAGGGTTGGTGGTTGGTTGGGTGGGTGGGAGAGGTGGGTTCGGGGGAGGGAGGAGGGGGTGCGTTGGTTGGTGGAGGGAGAGAGGGGGTGAAGAGGGGGGGGGGGAGGGAATGGACAGGTTGGTGTGAGAGGGCAGGGTGGGGAGGGGTGGGGGAGGACCAGATAGTGGAAAGGAGGGAATGAGGGAGGAGGGAGGAGGGAGGAGGGGAGGGAGGGGAGGAAGGAAGGAGGGAGTGAGGGATTGGTCACAGGGTAGAGGGTAGGAAGAGGCACGGAAGAGAACAGGCTGGGTGCGGGGATGGGTGGGGGTGGGCAGGGGGTGGAATGGGGTGTTTGGTTGGTTGGAAGAAGGGAGGAGTGGGGGAGGGGGTAATGCAGTAATATCAACATATTTTTCAAATAAAGTGTGATAAAAGTGTGAAGGAAGAAAGTGGGTGAGAGAGTTTGAGGAACATAGAGAGAGAGAGAGAGAGAGAAGAGAGAGAGAGAGAGAGAGAGAGAGAGAGAGAGAGAGAGAGAGAGAGAGAGAGAGAGAGAGAGAGAGAGAGAGAGAGAGAGAATCATATAGACAGAAAGAAATGGATAGAAATACGGATAATTGCAGAAACTGAACAGACAGACATCGAATGGGAGAAAAGAAGAAGAAAAGGAATAAAAAAAAACAAGAACAAGAATGAAAATAGAAATGAGTAGGAAGGAAAAAGGAGCAGATAGATGAATAAGAGAAAATAAGAATAAGAATAAAAATAAGAATAAGAGCAGGAGGCAGGAGAAGAGAATAAGAATAAGAAAATGAATAGTAAGAATAAAAAATAAGAATAAGAAAAGGAATAATAAGAATGAGAATAAGAATAATAACAAGAAATAATAAATAAATAATAACAAGTATGAAAATAAGAACAAGAAAGAGATAATAAATAGTATGAGAATAAAAAAAATAAAACTAGAAAGGGAATAATAAGAGTGAGAATAAGAATAGAATAAGAATGAAGAATAAGGATAATGAATGAAGAATAAGAGTAATATAACAATAAGGATAATGAACGAAAGAGAGAGGGAGGGAGGGAGGGGAGAGAGAGAGAGAGAGAGAGAGAGAGAGAGAGAGAGAGAGAGAGAGAGAGAGAGAGAGAGAGAGAGAGAGAGAGAGAGAGAGAGAGAGAGACAGACTGACAGACAGACAGACAGACAGAAAGAAAGAGAGAGAGAAAAGAAAGAGAAAGAGAAGAGAGAGACAGCGAAAGAGACAGAGAACCAAACAGACAGAAAGAGACACACACAAAAAAGACAGAAAATCACCATGGTTGACGCAGACGATGGTGTGCACGTCGTGACTGTCGTGAGCGTCCTTGAGCGGGCCCGCGTACAGGATCTCAGCGCCGCTCTTCCTCCGCCTGTTCCTCTTCGCCACCATCACGCCCACGCCCACGCACGTCGACACCGCCGCGATCACGCCCATCAGGAGCACCACGAAGGGCGTGATGGAGAGGAGCGTGTTGTGGGCGTGGGAAGAGACGACCTTGTGGGCGGAAGCAGAGGAGGCGGTGTAGGAGATGGTGACCGGTGGGCTGGTTCCTCGGCTGTTGGCGGCCGTGACCGTCATCAGGTACGGGACGTCGACCTTCAGGCTGAGGGCGAGGGGAGAGGAGGGGAAAGAGGGGAGAGGGGGAGGGGGAAGGGGAGATGAGGGGAGGGAGGGAGAAGGGGGAGGGGAAGGGGAGGAGGGGAGAGAGAGGAGGGGAGATGAGGGGAGATGAGAGGAAAGGGGAAGGGGAAGGGGAGATGAGAGGAGAGGGGAAGGGGAAGGGGAGATGAGGGGAGAGGGGAAGGGGGAGATGAGAGGGGTGGGAAGGGGAAAGAGAGATGGGGGAGAGGAGAGGGATAGGGAAGAGGAGAGGGATAGGGGGAGAAGAGGGAGAAGAGAAAGGAAGGGGAACGGGAGAGGGGGAAGGATAGGGGTAGAAAGAGGGGAAGGAAGAAGGGAGGGAGAGGGGAAGGGGAGCGGGGAGAGAGAGGGGTAGGGGAGAGGAGAGGGAAGGGAGAGTGGGATGAGGGGTAGGAAAAGGGGATTGGTAGGGAAGAGGGGAAGGAAGAAGGGGAGGAGAGGGAAGGGGGAAGAAAAAATGGAGGGGAGGGGGGAAGAGGAAGGGGGGAGAGGGGATGGGAAGGAGAGACGGGAAGGGCGATTGGAGGGGAGGAAAGAGGGGAGAGGGGAAGGGATAGGAGTGAGAAGGAAGGGAGAGGGGAGGATGATGAGAAAGAGAAGAGGGAAGAGGGAAGAGAATATAGGAGAGGGGAGGAAGGAGGGAAGAAAAAACAATCCATATTAATGTGATACACAAAAACACTCGCTTCAAAAACGTTCTTTCCTTTAAAACGTAAAACACACGAACAAACGTTAATACGAAGGATACTTTCTTAAAAGAAGTAAACTTATACTTAAAATTACTTTTACAAAATTCATAAAATAAAATATACTTAAAATATTCTTAGAAGTATACTTATACTTAAAAGAAGTAAACCTATGAATGTGAAAGGTGAATGTTGTCTGTTTAGCGCGGATGTTCATGTCGCAAGGAACAAAGTATGGCAAAGTGGATACGAATGTGGATACTTATGTTATACGGAATACTTGAGTTTGTGCGGATATGAAAGTTAAAGGGGAAAAAAAACTTTGGTGAGGATCTTAAAGGGGAAACGTTTGCTGACCTTATCTTTGTAGGGAAAGAACGTTGGTCAATGCGATGTTTTAATCTTAAGAGGAGAACGTTTGTTAATGTTGACGTTTATATTAAAGGGAAAATTCATTTTTTGATATAAACAAGAATGCTAAAGGAAAAAAAAATATAAACACCAAAGATTAATAATACAAACAAACAAATGAACAAGGAGACAACAAAGAAAAAGAAACAAGGCGAAAACAAAGGAAAATAAACAAACAAAAAATAAAGAAAAACAAACACAAAACTAGGAAAAAACAAAGAAAACACAAACTAGGAAAAATAAAGGAAAACAAACAAAGAAAAAAGCCAAGAAAACAAACAAACACACAAGGAGAAAATAAAGAAAAAGAAAAAGAAATAAAGACTAACAAACAAAGAAAAAGCAAAGAAAACAAACAAACAAACAAGGAATAACAAAGAAAAACTACAAAAAAGGCTAAAAATAAAAACAAACAGACATACAAGGAAAATACAAAGAAAACAATGAAAAAATAAAAACAAACAAACAATGAAAAACAAAGGCAAACAAATAGGCAAAAAAAAAAATCTAATAAACAAGGAGACCCTCCCCCTATCCTCCCCACCCTCCCACCTACCCCGTGATGATGAAGAAGGGCTCGGGGGCGTGACTGAACTCCTCCAGCAGCTCCTCCTTGGCCGCCTGCCGCACCTCCAGGTTGAAGGTCTGCTCGAGGCCGCCGTCCCACCCCGGCAGGCACGAGAGCACCACGTAGGTCGCAGGCATCGAGGAGTTCCTGTCGGCCTCGCAGGAGGATACCGCTTCGGGCTTGGCTGTTTGGGGGGGGAAGGGGGAGAAGGGGGGATGGGGAGAAGGGGTGAGGGGTGAGGGAGGTAGGATAGGTGGGGGGTGAGAGGGTGGGGGAGAATGGGGTGAGGAGGGAGGGAGGGAGGGAGGGAAGGAGGGAGGGTGGAGGATGGAGGGGCAAGGGGTGAGGAGGGGAAAGGGGCGGGAGGGAAAGGGGGAAAGGAAGGTTGATCAATGGTGTTGAGAGTGTTTGGCTTTTGCTATCTATCTATCTATCTATATCTATATATATATAATGGTACTCAATGGTAGGGAGGGATTGGCTATCATTCTATATTTTAACGGTGGGGCTTTATTATCATATTTATCATATTATCATATATCTAATCATATCTATTTATCATATGAAATTATTTCTAATTATGTCGGTTTATTATAATGTCATATCTATCATACCATCATATCATTTCCCTTTTTCAACTTTGGTTATCATTTAAAAAAAATCCTAAACAGTGGGCATAGAATGATGAGGCAACGTAATGTTACGGTACCCGTCCTTCCCTATAAGGAGGCAACACTACGCCATCTACAGTTTAAAGAGGGAACTATTTTACATTCTTTCCGAGTCGTCGAGGTTGAATAAAGAATATATTCCTAGTCTGTCGTGGTAGTGATGGATGTTGGGAGGGAGTGTGGTTTGCAAAGAATGAGACTGTGATTGTGGTTTGCAAAGAATGAGATGGTGAGTGTGGTTTGCAAAGAATAAGACTGAGTGTGGTCTACAAAGAATGAGACTGTGTGTGGTTTGCAAAGAATGAGAGTGAGTGTGGTCTACAAAGAATGAGACTGTGAGTGTGGCCTACAAAGAATGAGATTGGGAGTGTAGTTTGCAAAGAATGAGAGTGAGTGTGGTTTACAAAGAATGAGAGAGTGTGGTTGCAAAGAATGAGACTGTGAGTGTGGTTTTGCAAAGAATGAGACTGTGAGTGTGGTTTGCAAAGAATGAGACTGTGAGTGTGGTCTGCAAAGAATGAGACTGTGATTGCTGTGAAAGAATGAGACTGTGAGTGTGGTCTGCAAAGAATGAGACTGTGAGTGTGGTTTGCAAAGAATGAGATTGTGAGTGTGGTTTGCAAAGAATGAGACTGTGAGTGTGGTCTACAAAGAATGAGATTGGGAGTGTAGTTTGCAAAGAATGAGAGTGAATGTGGTCTACAAAGAATGAGACTGTGAGTGTGGTTTGCAAAGGAAGGATTGAAACTGGAAGCTAGGTGTGCAAAGAATGGATGGCGCTAACGATGGGACACCTTGTTTGTTTTTTCTTTGATTGATTGTTTAGGGAAAGCTCTAGGCAGGGGTGGGGTAGGGGTGGGGGGGAGGTGGCTGACTCACCAGGACTCTCCTAGATTCATTAAGATTCACCTCCAATCACCTGACATAGGTTCTTGACAATCACTTACTTCTGACATCCAAATCATGACAGGGACTTGCCTCTGAACCCACGTGCGGTCACAAAAAAATAAATAAAAAAAAAAAACGTCTTTGGTCATTAGAACATGTCTTGTCTGTCTGTCTCTGTCTGTCTGTGTGGATGTATGTTTGTCCAATCGGATTAAATTATTGTTTTGTCTCTTTTTTTATTTCGTACTCTCGCTTCCCCTCTCCTTTCTTTCTCCTTTCGTGTTTTAATCATTCTTATATGCTTCTCATCTTCCATCAGTCTACACACACACATGCCACACAAACGCAAACACACAACACACACACCTCTCCCCTTTCACCCACCCTCCACACATAACATCTACCCCAACCCCACCTTTACCCCACTTCCCCCTACCGCCCACCTCCACCCCACTTCCCCCTCCCGCCCACCTCCCTCCCCACTTCCCCCAACTCCCCCTCCCCCACTCCCCCCACCCTCCTCCCACTTCCCCCTCAACCCTTCTACCCACTTCCCCCTCCTTCCACCCTCCTCCCACTTCCACCCCACCTCCACCCACCTTCCCCCCCACCCACCCCTCCCCACCTCCACTTCCACTTCCCCTCCCCCCTCCCTCCCCACTTCCC